AAGATCGCGGGAGGAAAAAAGGCCTTAGGGAGGAAAGGAGGGAACGGATCTCAACAGGGAGAGGGGGGAAAACATCGTAGGGAGGAAAAGGGAAAAACTCAGAGGGAGAAAGGGCCTTAGGGGGGAAAGGGGGAATGGATCTCAACAGGGAAAGGTGGCAAAAGATCTTAGGGAGGAAAAGGGAGAAGATCTCAGGGGGGGAAAGGCCTTAGGGGGGAAAGGGGGGAAAGGATCTGAGCAGGGAAAGGGGGGGAAAGATCTTAGGGAGGAAAGGGAGAAGATCTGGGGGCAAAGGCCTTAGGGGGGAAAGGGGAGAAATGATGTCAACAGGGAAAGGGGTGGAAAAGATCTTAGGGAGGAAAGGGAGAAGATCTGGGGGAAAAAAGGCCAACAGGGAAAGGGGGGAAAGATCTAAGGAAGGAAAAAGGAAAAGCTCTCAGGGGGGGGAAAGGCCTGAGGGGGAAAAGGGTGGGAAGGATCTCAACAGGGAAAGGGGGGAAACAATCTTAAGGAAAAGGGAGAAGATCTGGAAAGGCCTTAAAGGGAAGGGGGGAAAGAATCTCAACAGGGAAAGGGGGCAAAGGATCTTAAGGAGGAATAGGGAGAAGATCTCAGCGGGGGGAAAGGCCGTAGGGGGGAAAGGGGGGAAAGGATCTCAACAGGGAAAGGGGGGGAAAGATCTCAGGGAGGAAAGGGAAAAGATCCCGGGGAGGAAAAGGCCGTAGGGGGGGGAAAGGGAGGAAAAGGGAGAAGATCTCAGGGGGGAAAAGGCCTTAGGGGGGAAAGGGGGGAAAGGATCTCAACAGGGAGAGGGGGGAAAACATCTTAGGGAGGAAAAGGGGAAAAATCAGAGGGAGAAAAGGCCTTAGGGCGGAAAGGGGGAATGGATCTCAACAAAGAAAGGGGGGCAAAAATCTCAGAGGGGAAGGGGGCAAGGGGACAATTCCAAAGGGACGCAAATAAGAAAGCAGGCCTGTAATGTCGGCGGCCTGAGCCGGAGGCGTTAAAATATGTATATATATATATATATATCGTGTATGTATTGTATTTTGTGATCAATCAATGTATTTGTTTAACCTAATAATAACTCACATGGTTTGGTCGCTCACTTGTGTCATCATCTAGTCTACACATTTAACACATTCTGTGTCTCGATTCATGTCTTGCGTCTTTGTCAGTATCTATGATCTCCAACCGTTCAATAAATTTGGTGCCGTTTGGTTTCTTTGTGGATCGTATTCCCGAGTCGATTGCCAAACTTCGATCCTTCAGATCGATGCAGGGATGCCGAACCGGCGGAAGCCACGGGGGAGGTTGACCTTTTGAAGTCGAACATGGAAACCCGAAGAGGGAAACCAGATGGTCAAAAGCTTTCAGGTGAGAGGAGGGCTTGCAAGTCCATGACTGTGCTCATGATAACTTCTAGACACTCAAGCCCGTCTCAACCAGCTTGGGCTCAGGCCCCTTTATTCTGGCGTCAATCCGCATGTAGTAGGATTGCAGGCTGTTAGCCTGGCGAATGCGAAATGGACGGCTTCGCGCGGCCGCAACCCCGAGCAACACAAAGGGCACTCCAGTCTCGCAGCAAATGCCCCGGAACTGTCATTTTGGCACTGGGTCCTTCGCGGTCTTTCCAAGCCCCAGCATTTTGAAAAGCTGCCATCCCCATTCCTTGCGGGGAGGCAGTAGCACAGTCCAGCTACACATCTCATGGATCAGTGGACACACTATCCAAAACTCATCATGCCACCATCCCTTGCATTAGTGGCCACACGGGCCAAAAATGGAGCAGGGTGGAGGTTCAACTTGGTTGCCGATTGTCCAAACCTGTCTGATGGAGCTTTAGCGGCTGGTGATTGGACAGCTCCAGTTCGCTCGTCTCGTTGGTACGTTACGCGGGCAAATGGTCTGCTCATTTGCTTGTCAAAACCAGTCAGTTGCTACGGTCTGTTTTAAAGCTGGTAGCAGAACCACCAATGGGCGCACAGCTACTCGGCCTCTTGGAGCTCAGACTATTCGATTTGCTCCGGCTGAGGTGCCATGCAGCTGAAGGGCATGGATGGATACTGTCTCTGCCTGGATGTTCGCAACTTAAACATCTTGAGCTCTGGCATCTTGGAAGGACGTCTGCTTCCTGCAATGAACTCACAAGAACCTGTCTGCAGCACGCGCGCTTTTGAGAAAACCAAAGCTTTGCTTACATCTAGCGAGCGCCGCCTTACTCGCCGTCGACACCTGGAACTTAACTGCGCCGCCCAGTTGCAGCTGTCCTGTCACTCAAGCGCAAACAGTCTCCGTAGAAAAGGGCGCATAGAGGTTCACTCGTCGTCCTAGAGCTGTTGCGTGTGTCTTTCATCGACGCTAGGCCACATGTGAAATGTTCAGCGCTGACAGTGCATGCTGTGTACACCCGGTCAGGTCAAACGAGTGAAAACTGATTGAACAACCATTGAACGTGGTGTTTTGCAAAATGAATTGTCAAAAACACTTATTTCTGCGAGGAAGCACTTTTTTTCAATTGGGACGGCACCCAGCCACAAAAGCTTGGAACGCGGTTTTGCTGGTTCCGCGTATTTCCGACTGATGTCCTAGCAGTATTCAAAACTTGTCCAGCAGGGCTGACTCTTCTGCACGTATTCCAGAATTTTCGCTCAAACGCAGAACAACTGGAAGCAATAATTTGTTCCTATTTGCGGGCTAGAACCCTTTTGTTGGAAGCCGTTTAGGCCCCCCTGATAGTACACAGCCTCGCCGCTGTCAAATGCACAAACCATATGAGTATGTCAGTAGCTCGGTTTGGCTGGTTGCCATTGCAATCCCCTCACTTTGTGCGAGATGCAAGAACCACGTCCAACTGTTGCGTCCAACTGTCAGACGGGCGGCGGTTGACTCGAGGAGAACAAAGCACAGGAGTCCAGGACGCTGGCTCCCCTAACTGCCGCACGGAAAACGGCTCCGCAAAAAGGCAAAGGGCCCCGGGCATGTACAGTAGAAGTGAAACCAGAGCATGCGCGAAGTGGCTCGGAGCACCGCAGTCTGCCTGTCACGCGAGGTCTTCCTGTCACGTGAAAGCGAAACGGCCTCAAAACCATCACCCAACGCGCTGCAGCAGTTTAGACACTGCTCGCGATTCGGCTACCTTTGCAGCCGTGGCACTGCGAAAGCCCTGAAAGGCAATTGATATTGGTGTGCCCCTGCCCCTGTCAGTGAGGTGTGGGCGGGCATTGAGGAGTCGAGGGGGTAGTACGTTGGAAGGTCCAGATTGCGCATAGTCCTTTGTGTTGGGGTTGGGGGTTTTGTCAGTTGCTTGCAGGATCCGCGCGCATGGAAGCTCGCAGAAGTTGGCTTCTGCGCAGAAAATGTTGGCCCGCTCGGGAAATCATTGGCCTCGCGCGTTCCGCCATGCCGAGCTTCCGGAGGGGCCCTCTTTCGCGGCAGTCCTTCCCAGTGTACCTGGCGTTTAGTTGCTGGACAAAAGCTGCAACTTGAAACGGTCGCAGGTTTTTCGCACAAAACATGCAACTTTCCGGAAATGGCAACTTGTTTTTAACTGCTCACGGAAGACAAATTGGACTTAAAATGTGTCCCGCCGCACACTTTACTCGTTAGATGCATCAAACATGCCACACGGCCTTGCAACAACTCAATTACGGCTGTAGGCTAGTTAAGCATCAGTAGCTCTGGTCCTGACAGCCTGAGCAGCGAAACCCATCAAATTTCCGCGTACAGCAATTTAGCCAGAAGCACATTTTACTCGTTGGACGCATCAAATATATTCCACACGACCTTGCGACAACTCAATTTGAATGACTACAGGCTAGTGAAGCATCAGTAGCTCTGGCGGGGCCCATTGTTTTGGAAAGTCGTGAAAGCCTGAACACCGAAGCCTATCAATGTTTCTGCGTATCCACGCTGCTTACGTGGCAGGATCTTGCAAAAGCGGCTCAAAAACAACGCTTACACGCTGTTTCATAAATGGGTGGTGGCAACTCAGTACTCAGTATGCACTTTTGGTGTTGCATGTCGCGTTCAAGTCTGCTATGACAGAACCTCTTTCAGCGATGTGCTGGACCCTGTAAGTGCGTCCAGCTCATGGGTCCACTGCCATTAGAACAATGATTTATGTAATAGCGTACACATGAGCCTGAACATACCTTGAACAATTGTCGACATTTGGGCACAAGCTGCCTTAAGAGTGCCAGTACAAAACCTGCGGTGTTTTGCGCCACTTTACGCCCAGCATATGCAGCTTTGCAGGTTTTCAGGAAATGGCGCAGTGCAGGCTGCGCGCGCATTCTGAGTCAAATGGTGTGCTTAGCCTGGCCACTCACGTAGCTGATCGTGTCAAGCAGAGCCTGGACTGAATTCACACGTCCAAGGCATCAAACTCCCAAGCTCGCCAATGTCTGGAGGCAAACGTTTCAATTTTGTTTTTTTTTGCTGTAGACCAAGGCGGCAACACCAAACCAAGGCAAGCACACCACCACGGTGGCATAGTGTCAAGCACATCCCACTGTCGAGGCAGTGGCAGCGTCCCTGCAGCGCAAAAGGCAGTTGAGAACAAGCACGCAGCTTGGGGCCAAACAAACTTCTTCACGATGCAATTTGATTTTGCACAAACGCACGTCTTGTGGCATTTTCTGCAAGCCGGTTTGAAGAGCAGGGCCCCAGGCCATCCCAAAACCTAAGAAAAGCGCCGGGTGCGTGCGAGGCATTACGTCGTCTCAAATCTCCACGGCGCTGCCGCTATTGTGATACTTCACATGGAATGTCTTCAGCTTCGCAGGGTGACGTGCACATCCGCAAGCCGATAGCAGCTTTTGGCCAAGGCAGGGTTTTGCTGTAACTTGCGCTTAAAACAGGGCACTTGCCCCAGTTGCCCTTTCTTTTAGGCCTCATTTTCCCGGCGAGGCTACTTGCACGCCGGCGCTGGGGCCTGGAAGGCTTGGGCTAAGTTGGTGGCCAATGAGCGCAACACAGGTGAGTCTAATGTGCCGTCGATGTGGCCACTTGACAGCAAGCCCAGCCGATGCTCACATTTAAGTGCGCACACACTCAGGCAGCTTGTGAGCGACGCACGCAACCCCGTCACGGCTTGGGGCGCTTGGGATCCAAAACCTTGCGCGCTGGGAGCAAAAGATCAGAGCGAGTCACATTGGACAGCTCACAAAGGACTGGACTGCCAAGGAAGCACTGCCCTAGGCTTCGTGCGGCTGGTCTGCAAGGCAATCTTAATCAAGTTCATGTTCAGCTTTGGGCAGGGCCCAAAGTGCAGCAACCGTTGGGTAAGCGGCCTGCGTAAACGGGCGCTGCGTGCAAGCAAGCACTTTGCATGAAGCAACAAGCAAGAGGAGACGCGTTGCGCAAGACTAGGAACACTTGGTGAGCACTCAGCACCGAAGCCAATCAACCAGAAGGCTGGCCTTAGCAAGTGCTAAAAGGCAACAGGCTCCAGGCAGAAAGGCAACTAACTCCAAACCAACTTGGCATGAGAAGATTGTCTGCGACTCTCAAGAAGCTGCAACATAACTTTTATGGCAGCGACGCCGTTGGCAACTAAGCCTCCGGCTGCCTACCCGACGAAATCCATAGGTTGAGCGCGGCATCTCAGCCACGGCCTCTCAGCAACTCCAAGCGCACGGCCTCTCAGCCACTCCACAGGTTGAGCACGTCGTAGCGCGCGATGTGCTTAGATGGTCAAGCTCGTCTGACAGGCCCCGCTTTTTTTAGCAATTCAGAAAGCTTCTGCGAAGGCAAACTGGCTCCTACGAACTTTGCACAACTGTCTGTGCTCCCCATCCTTTGCGTGGTCCACCAGTGTTCTACCCAGACATCGCTGGCATCTGTGGAAGGTTCACAAACTCAGCACGCTCAAACAATTTGTGGAAGGAAAAGGCAAGATGAGATGTGATGTGCGAAACTAGGCCTAATCGGCGAACACACTCAGCACCGAAGCAAATGTGTACAAGGCTGGTGTGATGAGCAAGTGCTGCTCTGGCGAAGTGCAAAGGCTAAACAATGGAGGGATACCGAACGAGGTGCTACACAGGCAGTCACAAACAAAGCTCTGCGATGTACGAAGGCAGTACCAAGGCAGTCACAAACATCATGGCTTCTTATGAAAGCCGAAATGGATCACACCTCGTTATCGCATCTCCGGGGAATACGACTGGCACTCGGCAGGATGGGGAAAAGCGCCTACGACTTACGTAACTTTTGCAAACTTCCGTGCGGCTTCGGATTCTGCGCTGAACTTTATGGCTTGAAGCTGAACGCCGCTTACACCTACTTATTTCATTCAAGTTGGGGTTCCCGCCTTCAGGGGTGACGCCCCACCTCGTGGTTTGTAGACAAACCCACAGTCACAGGCCTCTGCTTGCTCGCTAATAGCTTGCCAGTGAATGAGAGCTTTGCTGCTGATAACCTTCTAATAGCAAGCTATTTTCAAATCGGTATGTTTTTACCGACATGTGGGTCCAAACAGCATTTTGGACCACAGACCTGGCAATAGCAATGGCCTGTAGCAGTGATGAGGAGAATGATGATGATGATGACGATGATGGCATGCAAGTGTCTGTCCAACAACTTGTTCGGAAAATACGTCGCTCCTCTGCGCCCAAACGACTGCTTCTGGCCCGTGGTTCTCCATTCCGGAAAGTGAATGAGCAATGTTTGCTGGCGACACATTTCTGTTTTGCAATGTCGAAATTTGTTTGAGGTAGGGAGTGCGCGAAGTCACCTTTGACAGGGGCCGCAGTTGGCAAGCTCTGGGCAGCTATTCGCTTGCTGTAGAGGGGGTGCACCCCCCCCCCGTACAGCAGGGACGGGCATGTTTTCCTCAAAAACGGAGCCCCGGAGCGAGCGCGGGGGAAACACGAGCAAAAGGGCCCTTGCCTGGGGAACGATGTAGGATGAACATGGTGCCTTCTGGCGGGCACTAAGTTTTCAATTTGTGCGCACACGTGCGGAGAATCTGCTGATATTTAGCTTCCCCGCAGTCCTCAGCTCTTGGAGGTGGGGGGGGGAACGACTCGGCTCATTCTCCTTCGAATGAAGACTGTTATCTGTCCGTGAAAGGTTCATGTAGGAGCCCTAGACCGGGCTGGGGCACTGGTGTGTTTGCAGTAGGCCAGCAACCCCAGGCCTTTCTGTGAGGTCCCGCTGGTGTTGCCAGACCTCAAAGGAATCGATGGGGTGCCACTCAGGCAAGGTGGGCCCCCAGAACTCTCCAACACAAATTCTTCGTGGCTTTTGGCCCGAGCCCTTGCCTTCAATGGTTCGCAGTGATGGACCGGTAGACCCATCACAACATTTCCGGCCACACGCCGCAATAGAACTGCATGTTCCTGATGCCCGGGAAGACTTTCACCACGCTACATGGGTGAATTATTATATTTATCTAAAGAATCTTACATGGGCCACTGTTATGGGCCATTATTCTTGTGGCTTGCTGGCGAGAGAGACGATAGTTCCAACGAACGCAAATCTGCAAGTTTGATTTCCACAAAGAGTCCCAATGGAGTTGGAACCTTTCAAGATTGCTGTCGTCAAAGATTGCTACTCCAGAGGCAGCAGTTGAGAAACGCACACATCCAGCCACCTGGTCCTTGTGCTACGTACCCAATACATAAGGGGTATATATAGTGTATGTATTTTTCAGCCATTAGCGGCCCATAACAAGGGCCCAAGTAAAAAACTTTAGAATTTCCTAGGTCGTTAGGTCGAATTCACTATTTCAAAGGTCGATCTGAAATAACTTAGGTCGTGGCACTGCGTGCCTCAACACGGCAACTTCTGAAACCGTCTCCAGGCGGCAACTCCTTAAATACCCCGTTTTTAAGAGGTTGGATCCCCCCCAAAGTAGAATTCTGGGTGACGCAACGGACAACAGCTCAGGGGTGTTGATCATGTGTTTGCATTTACCATAACTTGCGCACGAGTTTGCTACAAAGAGCTCGAGCCAAAATTTGTGTATCAATGGGTCTGCAGGTAGAGGTTGGGATTACAAAGAATGAAGATCAAATCGCAGAGTTGGAGTTTTTGATGAGGCGACTTGAGGCTGGCTCATGAGGGTCGCGTTTGCAAGCTTCCTTCTGCACACTACCTTGCAGCTCCATGGATGTTGTCCTCTTGCAATGCATTCTTCTGGTCTCGTCCGAGAAAGGCAAACGTCTGCGAGCACGTCCCGGGAATGTTCAAAGCCCCTGCACATCACAAGCGGGTAGCTGTCTCCGGAAGTCAAACAATGTCAAAGCCCTCGCGCTTGGCGCCTGTAGGCCAACGCGAGGCGGCGATTGGGGCACTGTCCGTCAAATGCGTGGCGAACATCAAAATATGAAGATCTAGCGATTCAGCAAGGATTTGGGCCACCAGAATCAGTTCAGAGAGGATGTCCCCCAACAAAAACAATCGTTCCAATCACACACAGGCATTGGCGCAACCATCTCAGCGCACATGTGCCTGGCACACCGTTCGGATTCTAACTGAGCCGACCAAGGGCAGCGGACATGAGCACTCAAGCACCCAGTCAAACAGGAAAGAACAAAATACATTTGTGTCCAGAAAATGGTCTTGACCTTGTTGCTTGCAGGACGCCGATTCCTCTCTAACATGCTGTATTGGTCATGTCGACGTGTAGCAACTGCAAAAACCAAAGTGTAGGCGCGGCATGGCCTCCATCTTCAAAGTACCTTCCACGTGCTGCCCGGCGTTCACCGCCAAAGGAACCTCCAGAAGGAACCGGATCTGGTACCTGCTTGCAGAGCAAACAAAATGCGGGGGGAAGAGAAAAAAGAAGCTCCACTCCACTTCTAGATGGGCAGGAAGCCCCTTCCCCTTGTCCTAAATTTCGGGACCTCCTTGTGGATGCTTAAAGCAAAAAGGAAGAACATGAAATCACGCGCACGCAATTTTGGCGCCCGGAAGGCCGCCCTGACTCCAGGCCAAAAGCGAGCCCATCCCCGGGCAAAAAGAAACACTTGGAAGGGGTTATTGACTTCTAGCAAGGTCCCGTTTTTGCTGGGAGTGTATATCTTGCACTCTACTCTTTTCCTAAAACAGGGATCCCTATATTCCGCCGTTGGTTTGAAACATCACCTTTTGTGCCAATCGAAAATCCGAGCTGAGTGGGTAGGCTGCTTCAAGATTGAACATTTGTTGTAGGGGCCCCCATTCCCAAACACCCAACCCCCCACTCCCCACCCCTTCCCCAACAAAAAACCGGTGCCTATTCAAGGCGACCTGCAACTTCCATCGAGTAACGCCAACCTGCGCTCTTCCCCAGCTCAGCGCTATGTGCACTAAATGTGCTATATGGTATCAAGGCATGTACGCCAGCCTGTAGAGCCTCCACTCTCCCCCAGGTCCGTGCCATATGTACTGTATGCACTATATGTACTATACGGTATCGAGGCGCGCTATATGTACTATATGTGCTATCTACGCTAAATAGCACATACAGTACATATGGCAGTGACCTGGGGGAGAGTGGGGGGCCTCGATGCCATACAGCACATATAGAACATATAGCACTGACCTGGGGGAGAGTGGAGGCTCTGCGGGTTGACTGTGGAGAAGCAGCCGCCGCGTAACCGACCTCGCTCTCCCACCCAAGGTTGGAATTCTGATTTTGCTCTCCCACCCGACATCGGAATTCCGACTTCGCTCTCCCACCCGAGGTCGGAATTCGACTTCGCTCTCCCACCCGAGGTCGGAATTCCGACTTCGCTCTCCCACCCGAGGTCGGAATTCCGACTTCGCTCCGGTGTGTTCGACGTGAATGGCATTCACGTTGAGCATCGCTCCCCGGGGCAGCGAGGACGGCCGCGGCTCCCAACGCCGACGACCGACGGCCTATTTCAACATAAGGCGCACTTATGTTGAAATAGGCCGCCGCTCCCAACGCCGACGACCGACGGCCTATTTCAACATAAGTGCGCCTTGTGTTGAACACCACTGTTTTCCGCTGTCGCCTCTTCCAGGGGCCACTGCGGAAAACCGCAACTATGTTGCCAAACTGGCCGGGATGTGAGTTTTCCGAAGTCTGGGCTGCCACCCCCCACTTTGGAAAACTCCCAACGCCGACGAAGTACGGCCAGAATGTGAGTTTTCCGAAGTGTCGGTTCTCATCCGACACTGTGGAAAACCGCAATTATGTTGCCAAACTGGCCGGAATGTTATTTGTCCGCAGTCGGGGCTGCTACCCCCCACTGCGGAAAACTCCCAAACAACGACGACCGCAGTCGGGCGCGCCGGCCTCTCGTGGCATAGCAGGAGGCAAGCCTGAGGCCGAAAACCAACGGACCCCGGCAAATCCAAGGCGCAGCGGGCCTCAAGATGACATGTTGTATCACCAGATGACATGTTGTATCACTAGATGACATTTTGTATCCCTAGAGTTGACGTTTAGCCAGCTTCAGTTGTGTTCTGCAAAGGGTTCCCCTGCCCGGAAAGGATTGTTACTCCTCAATAGATCTTCTGCCTCGCCAGTGTCTGGTTCCCCGGATCCGTGCTGTGTGCTTTTCGGGATCCAAATGCTTCAAGCCATCCGACGAGACATTCAAAACGCAATCAGGGCTGCCGGTGTCGACAATCACAAACTCACAAACGCCTGGCAATTGTAAAGCGGAAACTCGGCCTTTTCGGTTTTCGGCAACAGCACATCTGACATATTAAAAAAAGGAAAACCATGCCGGCAAAGAACTGGGCAAACTGCGGAGGATATCACACGGGCAGCCTGACTGTATGCCAGCATGCAATGTATTAAATCAAAGGGTTCCTTCTCTCGTGAGCCCTAACCTTTTTCGGAGCCGTGATATAAAATGCATGTGAAACGCGGGGAATGCCAATGAGGAAAGGGGCAGGGGGCATCGTGGATTCGACGTCATGAACAGGGTGCCCTCTGTTGGGCCTTTCTGTGAAAACAAACACGGCAATCTTGTGAATGCTTCCTGAATGTATGTTCAATCCACTGAAGGTCCTGCGCGCAACTGTGTTGCTTCATGTAGGGGCCCAAATCAGACGGTTTCCTTGGGCTTCCCTTCAAAACAACAAACCCTCTGGCGGCAAACCCACGACTCATTTCGGAAGGCCGGATTTCACGAGGGACCTGTAGGCCACGGAACCAGGCCAAACGATCAGCCGGGAGCCTCCGTTTGGGAACCCAAGTCGATGGGTAAAACAGGCAGACAACTGGCCCAACCTCGTATAAGGGCCTTCAGGGAAGAAGAAAAAGAAAGAAAAAGAAAACTCGGCGTTGCTCCGTCCCCCTCTCCCCGTCGATTTGACCCGAAGGCGCCACTCCAGCGCGGAGGGATCTCCGGCCTCGCAGGCCTCGGCCTGGGAACACGCCTGACCGGACATCCGGGGGTTCAGGGGTTGTTCGTCGGGAGGCCGATGGCAAACCCATGGATGGAAAAACGCATTGACAAGGCCGGGAGATGCAAAACAGACCGGTGAATTGGACACTGCACTGGAGTCAAAGATTTGTAGGCGCCAGAGGGGGACAATCGGAGCTTCGGAGCAGGATATGGCACCAAAGAAACCCCTCCCCTGGTTGCGGGAGATTGGAGGCTAACCCCCATGTCTCCAGACTAGCGATAGACTACCAATGTTGGTTCGCTCAGCTGCCCTTTGTTCTGAGTAGTCGGTGAACCGCTGCCAGAAGTGCCAAGGATGCCGTCGTGAGATGGACTGAGCGAGAAATGGCCTCGGTTTATCTTTTCGCCTCTCATAGATTCCAGCTAAACAAAGAAGTGCTATCTGCACATTGGAAAACCTCGCATCTTACTGCCACCAAGTATAAGCTGGGGCCGCTTGCTGCCCTTTCCATCATATCCGTTTGTGCAACAAGGGGCCAACTCAAGCGAAGCCGCCGATTTTTTAGCGCTCATGTTTACAGCTTACCACCAACTATCATTGCCAGCGGATGTCGTCCCATTGGTTCCAGGAGGAATATGGGTCCAACTCCAAATCCAAACCGCAGACTAAGGCTAATCTGGTGGTTAGCTTCATCCGTCACTTACACATCACTCACCCAGATCTCTTTGTGCCTCCCTCCAGCTGTACCCCACCTGATTTCGCAAGAAACTCCATCAAAGACCTACTGCAAACCATGGAACCCGATTCCATGTGATGCTTGCCCAAAAGGAGCGTCTAAACACGGATCGGTGTTTGTTGGGTTCCACAGTTCACGTTTGGGTGGATCTGCTTTTGCTGACCCCCTGTCGCTTGCTTTGAATGGGAAGCCAAAAGGGCATCAACCTTCAACGGAGATGCCTACACCAGGGTGAAAGCGGATGACACAATTCCCCTTATGCTAGCAAGGGCCATTGATGAAAACGAAATAGAGGGGAATGCTCCACCCAGCTACAATAAGCCTCTGGTTGAAATTAAAGTATTACGGGGTATCTCTTTTTTGAGAGGATCCTTCACCTTCCGAACGCTCAATCAATATGAAGAAGCAGGCTTAGTTGAACCTTGAAAGCAGAACGGCTCATTTCCGACGCCCAAAAGACCAGGTGTTCTCTTCGAGTCCAAAGGTCAGGTGTAAGTTTCTTCTGGATCAGGGGCCCATGGCTCGCTCGAGTCGACGCCTCGCGACCAAACTTATTTGTTTAACGAAATGAAGCCCCGCCACGTCCAGGCCGCAGCGGCTGGCGTGCATCTCACCCAGCAGCGCCAGCACCGCAGGCCTGGGGAGGGCTGGCAAGGGAAACCAAGGGAAACCAAGGGAAACCCGGGGGAAATTCGGGGGAAACCTGAAGATAGCCAAAAAATGTCCTTAAAGCGACCCTTGGAGGCTGCATTCTGGGCTCAAAACCAGGGTTGTCAAGGCTGGGCTATGATGGGTGTCACTTGGATTGGAACGAATGTCTTTTCTTGGCTTCCACGGACAGCCGATCTTCTCAAAACGATCCTGTTCAAGCAGCTGGGCTTTTACCTGCGGGAGGCGGGAGGTATTGGCAACATACTCGTGGTTCTGGGTGTGTGTGTGTGTGTGAACCTGTTGAACTGTTGCGTTGCTTTCCTTTGGATGTTGTCCATGGCCTTGGTGGCTCCCTTGCAAATACAAACATTGCTGTAAGGCGGTTGATTGCACCTCGACCATTCAGCCAAAGCCCAAAACCGAGGACTGCTCCAGTGCGGCTTCAGCCCCAAACCCTGGCATCTCACGGAACTTCCGTTCAAGCACAACGCTCCAGCCGTCGCGAACAAGCTGTCGCCAAGACCCGATAAGACCCTTCAAAGGACCCTTCAAAGGGGCACTGCAATTTTTCTTCATATAAAACTGTCAGAGAGTTGATAAAATGTTTGCAATTGTCTGAATCAGCCGTATGCCTGAGAACTGAGTCTCAGGCCGGGCGCTCAGACTACCAAGAAGCTATACAAACTGCAAGAGCAAGGCCCCGCTCAGCGCTGAGAAGCCTTCACCACATCCTTGAAGTCCAGGAATGCCTTATAGGCCGCCTTGGCGTCCTCAGCGTTCACCTTGGACAGCATGTAAGGGCCCACATCCTTGCCCAAGCTGAACTTGTTGAAGGCGTTGTACACGTCCATGGTCTTGGAGGCCGGCACGGACGCAATCATGTGGCCAATGGCGGCGTTGGTGGCCGTGTAGTCCTCAAGGGTGGTCACCCCCTTGCTGTCAACGCGCCCGATGGCCTCGCTGTGGGCCAACACGCCAGCCTTCAGAGCTGCCGGGTCCATCGCGGCGCCCATAACCAACATCTTGTCGGGGGCTTGGCAGTGGGCAGAACGCCATAGACGCCATCAGTCCAGTCGATCTCCTGGACAGAATATGTGTTCGCATGATGTTTCTGACGGACAGCCGTTCACATGCGAACACGTTTGCCGCCAAAAGAATCAGTCCTAAGTCCCTCAACAATAAAACAAGAGCTGGAAGAACAAACAAATGAAGATCGACTGCCAGGCATTGTGAAGCGGCAACTGTTGGACGGCATCTGGCAGCCTTCACAAAACAGCGAGCATCAAACAGACTCACCCGGAGGTCCAAAGTTGGGCTAGAGGAAGCTTTCAAGCCATGATGTGCCGGTGATCATGCTCAGCAATCCTTCAAGAATGGGTAAGACTTCTCTGATAGAACCTTGGCCGCATCATCGATCTTGTCCGCGTAAGCCGGTGTTGTGCCCAGCATGGCCGCGGCACCGGCCGAAGTGGCGATCGGCACGTGTCGGCCAGCAGGGGGCACGAATGCACCCTGCTAGCCGCAGTAGGCCGCCACACCCGCCACGACTGCGAGCATCTTGCTTGCCTTTGCCATGGCAAAGATGACGAGAAGGCTCTTGGCTATTGCTCTCGCGGCTTTCGTACTCAAAAGCCGACATGCAGACACTTATCAACGGAGCAAGCCAAGGCACGCTTCTTGCCAAGCGGTTGCTCTCTCTCTCTCTCTCCTTTTTTTTCTCCCTGGCATAACATGAAGGCCAGCCACACCCACCTCCAGGGCGGCGGTGTAGGTGACCCCGTTGGGCGCCAACCGCAGGACACGCAGGCGCCTGCGGCGCCGTGGGTCTGAGTTTCTGCTTGGATTGCAACTGGAAACTGGAAAAAGCTGCAATCAGGAGAGGCCGATCCAGGAAACCAGCAGAAGGCAATCAGGAACTTGAAACAGCAAGCAAAACAAAGCACTTGTTAGAGATCAAGTACGGCTTGTCGGGGAAGCGAAGGGATGGCCGACTGTTTTCAAAATCCCGTACCCCCAGTGAACATCCGAATCCCCACTAAAATAGGTTCTAAAATAGGTGGTGCACCTACCCCAAAATAATTCCATCGGTTTTGACCCACAGCCAAATGGACACCGATCTGACCACGTCCCGCCGGCCTCAGCAGCTGCAGGCTCAGTGTCCACCGTCCAGACGATTCGCTCACCGCAGGCCACCAAGCTCGGCGGGCCTTTTGAAGGGAGAACCGGCGAAAGCGGCTTCAAGCAGCGTGGTGGGATTGAATGGGATGGGATGGGATGGGATGGGGTGGGGTGGGGTGGGGTGGGGTGGGGCGGGGTGGGGTGGGGTGGGGTGGGGTGGGGTGGGGTGGGGTGGGGTGGGGTGGGATGCGATGGGATGGGATGGGATGGGGTGGGGTGGGGTGGGGTGGGGTGCGGTGGGGTGGGGTGGGGTGGGGTGGGGTGGGGGGGGGATAGATCGTTCAACGGTCAGCAAAAGCCTCCACAAAAATGAAACTTAGGACCTCGGAAAACAAGTGAACCCCAAACTGAGTGGGACGCTTTTGGGGGCAGGTTCCTGAAGGGCTCCTTTTGAATCTGGAGAAGCTGAGAAGTGGGTATGACATCATTCACACGGGGATGTCATTCCCCGCCATGGTGAGGGTACAAAAGCGAGGGACAAAATATAGCCGGTTGCCTTTGTTCTCCGACTCTGACAGTTGCCAGGGCTAACAAGAACAACCAAAACTGCGCTTGGCTAAGTAGGCGGCAAGTTATTGCGGCTTTGACAGCAAGAGTTGCCTACAGTATGCTCTACTCAACAACCTGTCCTCAGTCTGACTGTTGAGAACTTGGAGACCCTAACCTCAAACCTGATGTATCTGACCGCCTGTTACGTCTTGGCTTTGGGGTCGGAAAAACAGGCTGGGGGTCGAAAACGCATGTGGTGCACTCGAAGCTTTCCGAGCCTTGGAGCCTTTGGAGCTTGGGGGTCGAAAACATCAAAGCGCCAGCCGCCGGACAGGTTAGGGGTACCGGAGGCGACAGGTTAGGGGGCGGGTTCCCGAATAGGGCACCATTGGGCGGTTGGGTTCTTCAAATGTCTCAGCTCAAAGCAACGTAGGAAGGACAGTTTCGCATCCCGCAATTCGCTTCAAGCAACTTGAAACCTCTTTGAAAGGGACCTTCACGGGGCCCGGCTGAAACCCTGTCGCGACTTACTTTGCCCAGATTGAAGAAGCAAAGATTTGCGTTTGAACTAGTGCAACCGTAAATGCCAAATGAGAAGTTCTGCTTCTTCAGGTTGCAAAAAATTATACAACCATGGGTGTGTTCTTGTTTGAGCCTTCCCTTTTTTGGGATTGGTTCAGAGGGAAGTCAAGGGAACTTACCCACAGTGGTGCCATATTTGATGTAGAAAGAACACCATACTATAGCAATCCACACTATAATAATTGCGTAAATATGTTCAACCCTTTAACAAGTTCATCAACTGTTTGGAATCAAAGTTTAATTGCACAATTAAATGTAACTAGTACTTTTAAATATTTAGAATTTCGGTTTGAGAGAGTATCTCAAAAAACAATTACACCAGCCTCGACCCCAAACAGCAAAATAACATGACAGGTCTGTACAACCAAAAAGAGGCTTGTCTCCTTCATGTAAGGTGCGAAATTGAGTAGCTTATGTGAGCACCACATAGTTACAATCAGTCTATGTATGTCCCTGTAGGAAGTCCCCTTTTTTGGCAAGAGGACACATCGGGTCCATCCATCTCCTTGACGCCGGGTAAATGCATCGATGTTGTTCATCGACTTCGGGGACAAATGCCATGTCAATGTCATGTTCGAGAGTGAAGGCCCCAGGGATTCGGGGTGAATCAACCTAACACCTGGCATTAATCAAAGGAAGTTTCGAAGGAACTTCCGTAGTACGGACACTCAATGCAGTTTTCCATCACCGCAGCATTTGGTGGCCGTCTCGCTACTCTGCTGAACCTTGCGCATCAGTCTCAGCAGCTTGCGGGCGAGACTGGGCACATGCCACTTTGCTATCTTCTTATCGAGCTCGGCTAAGGTCTTGCCACAAGCAAAGCAAGAGAGAACTTGCATAAACTTGCAGACTGCGCCTTGTAGCGTTACGGCCGGGACATCCTCGCCTAGCAACGCAGACACACGCCGCGTCAAATTGGCAAGCATCAGCAAAGGTGCCCAATTGGCGCACACCTCTGTCACCCGGCGCAGAAAATCCTCAGTGTTTGAGCCGGCAGTAGCTTGGTCATTCAGGGCCTTCATCTCTGTCGCGCCCAGCGCGCCGCATGCTCCCAAAAGAAGCCATCTAACACGGCTGCGGCGGTGTCGTCAAAGAACACATGGATGGGCCATGCCTGTAGCACGTGTTGCTTCGGTGAGCGATGGTCTTGATGCTATCAGCGCATCCCTCCAGCTTAGTTTCCCGACAAGCCACTTATGCTGCGAGCAAGTAAATCAAAATCCCGCCCAGAGCTGCCAAATTCAAGTCGAGATACAGAAAAGAACGTTGATTGCAAGAATGAAATGGAATTGCTCGGATTTCCAAAACATATACACACTGCGGGAGGCTAGCGCACTGGTGTTCCATGGGTCCAGAGACTGTAGGGAAGCTAGCGCCTCAGCGAATGATAATGGCACCTTACGACGTCCCGCCATGAAAACCTTGAGCCCTCGCACTTGCAAGCCCTGAGCACTTTCGGACACGTAAAACAGCAGCGTCCATATTGCGGAATATGTGGAAACAAGGCTGAGAAATCTGTCTTCAACCCTTCTGTCAGGAGGCAACGATGTGAGATGCTTCAGCAAAATGCGTTTGTCAGTGGGACTTGATTGCATAGGTTGCAATGAAGAAAAAGCGTCGCAGGACCAGCTAGCGATTCGAAAGACTGGATATGGTTTTGGCCGGGCCACATGGCTATCCAACTGAGAAGGTGCTAAATACTGGCAACAAGATAGGAGGCGAGGTTTACAACAGCACTGCCAACAAAACTACAGTGATGCTACCAAGAGGAAACTAGAAGATGGGTGGCCCGAAAGCATGGTAGTGCACGGCGCCAAGTAATCCTAGAAAGTTCTCTGCTGAGCAAGTTGTTGGCGCGAGTTCCTTTGAGCAAGTTCTCCAAGTAAGGTCTCGGCATGTCTTGGCACAAATTATCTGAGCAAGTTCTCAAATATCTGAGCAAGTTCTCAGAGCAAGTTTCTCTGAACAAGTTTCAATGAGCAAGTTGTCTGAGCAAGCTCGCTGCGTGCAGCGCTTGCCGCTGCAACTTCACAGTGCAACTCACTATACTGCCTAGTGCCACTTGCTGGCGCTACTTGCTAGTGCCACTGGCTAGCGCTACTGGCTCGCGCATCTCGCTAGCGCTATCTTGCTCGGGCTACTGGCTTTCGCCATTTTGCTAGTGGCATTTTGCTAGTGCAGCTCGCTAGTGCTACTTGCTAACGCAACTTGCTTGCGCAACCTGCTGGTGTCATCCGCTGGAGGTCTTTCCTGCAGCGCTCCTGCATCCCTAGCATCATCAGTCGCCTAGACCCCCCCTCCCCCCGCTTCACACGATTTTGGCTAAGGTGGCTGACCCCCGCACAAGCCCTCTATAGTTGCTTCGCTGCCCTGCCCCTTCTCCATTCCAAGGGTTTGTTGACCCGGAGCAAAACTGTCAACGAAACCGTCGACTTCTCTGTGGCTCATCACCATCACACTCATCATCACCCTTGTCCCGGGCAAAGCCAACTGAAGCTGTTTCTTCTTTGCAAGTTTTGGGGCTGACCTTGCTTGCTGCCAGCTGGCTGTTTTCCTGCTTACGGCTGGAGCCAAATTGCAAGCATATCTCGGGGTCGTTATGTTGCAGCCACACGCCTGCGCGCAGCGTTTTAGGTTTCGAATCCTTTGCAGGACGAGGTCGTTTCCTGGACGGACGAGTGTCAGGAGCCTACCAGGTGGAAGGAAACCCCCTCTAAAGAGAGAGCCTACATCCACCTCACCGAACCCAAGGCAACACTCCTGCTCTGCTTCGATGCGGTCAGATGCCAGATGCTGTGACGCTGGCTCCGGGGTCGTGTCTCCCGCTTGCGACACTGGCTCTGCGGTCGGATGCCAGATGCCAGACACAGGGAGACAAGCAGGAGACACAACCCCGGAGCTAGCGTCACAGGGACAAGCGGGAGCCGGGAGACAAGCGGGACACCCGGAGCCGGCGTCACAGCATCTGACGGGGAGACACAGGGAGACAAGCGAGAGACTGGGAGACACAGGAAGACAAGCGGGACACATTGGTTTCGATTCCTTCCAGTTCCTTGAGAACGTAAATATGTTCAATTTGTTTTAAAGGAAATCTATCACTGGAGACATGTCTATTCAATAGAGTGAATTCTTTCCAGACTGCCAAAATGGACAACTCGGGGTGATTTCGAGGTCATAGGTGTCCTTTTTGTGTGGTAGAGAATAGATGGCGCTTCCGATCGCTGGACCTGGTTCCACCTCTTGAGCTGCTTCTCCCTTTGGCCTGCCAGGCCCAGGGTGCTCAAGGGGCGCTGAACGACTCCCACCAGGCATGGCCCTGCCAGTCCCGGTCTGGTCAGATAGAAAGAGATCGAAGCTCGCTCAAAGAGAAATTGCTTACTTGTTGATAGGGCCTTTGCTGTTTCCGCGAAGTCCGAATGTAACATGCTCATTCTGCCGAAGCCTGGGTCATAGGGCGCGGGGGGGGGGGCGCCTTTGCGTGGCCGCGGCCCGGCCGTGCCTGGGCTGGTTTGGCCCTGTCGCTCCTGGGCCGCTGCTAGTCTTCGTAACGGGTTCCGAAATTGCCCGAACGCTTCATTTTTGGTACTTTTGGGCGCGCCCTGCCACTGCGCTTGGGCGTTTCGGGGGGCGCGGGGGGGGCGCCTTTGCGTGGCCGTGGCCCGGCCGTGCATGGGCTGGTTTGGCCCTGTCGCTCCTGGGCCGCTGCTAGTCTTCGTAACGGGTTCGGAAATTGCCGTTCCGGCACCCTCCGCGCGCGTCTTTTCGCTCCATTTTTGGTACTGTTGGGCGCGCCCTGCTATTGCGCTTGGGCGTTTCGGGGGGCGCGGGGGGGGCGCCTTTGCATGGCCGCGGGACAAGTGCCGCTGCAGGACATGGACGCTGACTGCCCGCAAAAAAACAGGGTCGGCGGCACCCGGGCGTAGCCCGTTCTATATTGTTTAGATTCTTGGTTTGATTCTGTCACTTTGTTTACTGTTTTTACCTTGTTACCTGTGTGTTTCTTATCAGTAGGTAGCATTTTGAGTTGAATTTCTTGTCAATTTTG